AAAGGTCGGTTCCACCAGAAGACGACAAGGGATTTCTTTTGACCAGCTGTCGATTGGCTTTAGTGGAAGATTCATGCTGACGCTGTTTCTGAGGTTATCTCCTTCGATTCCGGTAAAAGGTGCTAAGCTTAGGTCCGTCATATGACGAACATCATTGGAACAAGGTATCATCGTCACAACACAATTCAAGCTAACGAGTCAAAAAAACTGGTGGAACCGACCTTCGAATCTCTTCACCTAACACTTTCACTCGAAATGGAAGTAAGCTCAACAATATTGAAATACTAGATTATAGAATAAGTTGGATGTGAGAAATGATGGTAGAAAGTTAAGTGAGAATTACTTATGGTTGATTGAAAGAGTAAAGGAAAGAGAGGGTATCGAGGCGCTTTCCAAAAAGGCGACTTTTCTTTTCAGCCCAGTGATGGCTCTAAGTACACTCACACTCGTTCATGAACGAAACTAAACGTAAGAGGTTACGTTATACCTTTGGTCCTAAATATCAGTGCTCTTGGACCATCAGATTATTACGGATATTCTTATGGCCTGACCTATGCGCTTGCAAGCTTAACTCGCATTACCACAAATCGAGTTGTTTACGGACTTATGCAATCTACATCATTATTCTTTCAAAAAGTGCTCTCATCCAAGGTGGACTGCAGTTTCGACTTCACATAGGTCTTATCATCAACCCCCAGCCTGACTCGAAACAAGACAGTGCAGAGTGTAAGCTCAAAACTTTAACCACTACGCCACATTGCGGCGAGTGCCCGTTGGTCACAGGGCAGATGTGAATTTCTAGGACTATTAGGCATTTTCCATATCACATTCTGCTTTGGGATTGTCGATGAAGCAAACTTATATTTGCTATAGCAAATATCGTAGTAACCTAGGCTTAGATGGGATTGTAAAATTGAAAGACGAGAGGGTGTTTTTCGCGATTCGGGGAAAAAAGCGATGTGCACTTTCACACCATGGCCCCAAAGAATGAGACACAATGTAGGTGGGGATGAGAGAAAGGATAACCGAGTCATGGGTTTGAAGCCTAGGGAAATGAAGAGCCTCAGGCACTGACATGGGCATCATATGCTCTAAATCCTCCAATATGGCGTAACCAAGAGGAGGAATTGAAGGCGGTTAGGCAGCCAGATTTCAGACAGGCTAATTTCAGGCAGCCAAACAGTGTTCTGTTGATTTTGCAGCGACAACTCAACAAGTAGGGTAGGAAAAAAAGTTGGGGCAAAATATAGGTCAGGAGCCATGCAAAAGGCATCTGGTACTGGTGGTCGAGATGATTACGCTTCCCTAAAACTACTCGTAGTGACACCCGCTTAGGCGACATTGGAGGAAACGAGAGCACAGAATAGTGTGAATAAGTGGATGGGCAATATGAAATGGGGTTGAGAGAAAGAGATGCTGCACTAAAGGTAGAACAAAAGTAGGGGTGAGGAGTGATGCCACAACGGTTAAAATTGGCCAAGGGGATCGCCTTCAATAGTCACTTTGATAGGTTTTAACTCTGTGCTTACGATGGCGCCTCTCACTGACGTTGTCGACTATGATGCCGGCGAAACTTTTGTGAAAGTACCAAGTCAATGGCCCAATAATGGAAATCACGAGTATTATGGCAGAGGACACAGGACTAGGTACGTTCCACAAGGTCTCCTTGACGTTCCGACCAAGTTGCGAAAACAAGGTCGAACCGACACTAAAAGCTAAAGGAGACTACGACAAAACAGTAGGCCACACCATCCTGGCTTTCATATCCAAGATATTTTGCGTTTGCAAGTTGGTTTTTGAGGCTACCAGTAAATCAGATACATGAAATCTGTCAGCTTTATTTCTTTTAAGGTGATGTAGGGAAACTGTCTGCCTTTTCTTGAAATTCACATCTACCCTGCGATTTAAGAGCACTCGTGGCAATGTGGAGTAGTGGTTAACTCGTCGAGATTATGCGCTGCACTGTCATGCTTCGAGTCCCGCTCGGAGTGCTGATGATATCTACCCTGTATGATAATACCTTTTGGGAATCAAGGCTATGTAAACCAATGTAAACGCCATGCCCACTCATTTCATTATGGGCAAATTCACCTAGTCCTACCACCTTAAACGAAATAGTACGAACACATCTCAATTATATCTTCTACTTGTAGCCTATAACGCCTGCTTGAGAGACAAGTCTTGTTGGAGTACGTTTCTTTTCGATTAAATATATGTTTTCTACATAATGACAAGTTTTGTCTATATCATACGTTACTGCGAAAATTATTTCAAATGCTTTATGAAACTCTGGCCTTAGATGTTGATTACATCTTCTTATATATACTTTAGCACTCGGAAGTAAGCAAAATTGCCTGATGCTTGAGTAAGTACTACCTGACAATTTAAATTCTCCTTTTCAGGAAATTCGCATACCAGCACATTAGGGGGTATGGGATACCAGCGTAGTGGGCATATTTGCTTAGTATACGAAAATTTGTTATAACACTAATGCTGTGCATAAACATTTGGAATACAGGAGAAAAGTTGATAAGTTTGGCCATCTTTTATTACTTAGGTAGTAAGAACGAATAACAAGATTACTAGCTATTTCAGGGATCAAACTGGCTCAATTTTGATCATATATATATGTTTTGCGCCGACGCAGTTTTGATGCTGGCAACTTGGAAACCTGAGGGAAAGAGAAGAAGGACTTTGGGAGCATTGAGATTATTGTGGTGGCAGAACTCGTGCCAGCACCAGAACTCATCCCACCAAATTCTTCAGATGATATAATTTCGCCAAAACTTCCAGAAGTCGCGCCATCCCTGTTCATTCCAGCACTATTCCCAGATGATCCTGGTGACATCTGACTAGAACTAGAGGTAGAGGGTAGAGACTGAATCGCGACATCCCCGGACCTTGGGCTTAGCATAGGTGTTGTGGATGGTGAGGGAGTTGCAGCCGATGGAAATGCACTATGTCTGATGAAATTCGGGAATTGAGACATTAGCAGGCTATTGTCAGGTAAAGCGGATGGCATGGGTATCATAGAATTAGCGTCTGAAGGTAGTGAAAGCGTACTCAAATCAAGACCCGATCGAGGCATAAAAGTAGAGGGAGTTAATGCTGCCATATTTGAAGGAATCGAGTCGATAGGAATTAGCAAAGCAGAAGAGGGGCCAGGAGGATTCAAAGACATCGGGCCCAGGCTCAAGGCCGAAGACATAGGTGCAGAGGCAGTTGCGAAAGTGGTCGCAACGGGAGCAAAATTAGTTCGACCTGAAAACCCACTTCCATGACCCATAAGGGAGCTTGGGATTCCCGTGGCAAGGCTGTAGCCGTATCCGGAATAAGGGTAAACTTCGAATTGTTTCTGCGGCACTATAATGGCAGGCATAATTGAAGGTGAGGAGATGAAATCATTTGCAATCGTGGGACTTGCCATTGGAGTCGAGGCTTGTAGCGCCGAAACAGGGAGGCTTGTACGAGGTTGAAATGAAAATGCCGGTAATTGGGGCTGGGACTGTTGTTGAAATTGTGGCTGGAGCTGTGGTTGCAGTGTCGGCTGAAATTGAGGTTGGAAGGGGGGGCTTGTGTCGAAAGAAGAGCGACCACTTCCAGGGATGCCAAATGGTATCATATCAGGAATAGGGCTACTCGAAGTTGGACTAGATACTGCCGGGGCAGGTGTCGTGGCGGGTACTTGCGAACATGAACACGTCTGATCGGAGTTAGCATTTGTGGTAGTTTGACGCGAAATAATCACATGGCTGGGTTGTTGAGTAAGCTGCTGAATATTGCCCGTAGAATGAGCAAACTCTGGAGATGCCGCTAGTTGATGCAAGAGTTGGAAGAGAGGAGCTGTAGGCGAAGCAACTGAAGGGCTATTATCCAGTGACCTGGGAGAAGATAGACTGCCAAGCATTTCTGCTTCATCCATCCACAGTTCACCTAGGCCAAAATTATATCCGTATAAATCTGCAGAATAGGGCATGGGTCCA